CAGCTGGGGGCCCTTCCGGCAGGGCTGTGGGTAGGGGGCAAAAGGCAAGAGTAGGGCAGTGAGGGGTACCAGCAGGGCTGGGGGGGGGCTCTGAGGGCAGTGAGAGGCACCAGCAGAGGGCTTTTAAGAATGGATTTTGGGGGTTTTGTCAGAGAATTTGCAACTTAAATAAAAAAATAAAAAAAAATCAGACAAAACCAGGATCCCTGGTAATGACCTAATCTTCTTGCCAGAGAAGTCAACAAAGTCCCAAATCATAATCCCTGCTCCAAAATAACGGCATCGGCATCATCCAGCTCCTCCTCCTCCCTCCTACTCGGCCTTCATTCCACCTTGTAGCAGGGGCTGGGGCCAAGCCCGTGCTATACCCCCACTGAGCCAGCTGCACTGTCAGGAAACTTACCCAGCCGATCCAGACAACTGGTGTGTCGCCAGTGCACCGGAGGAAATGGTCCAGGGAGAGCCAGAGAAACGGGCAGAAACCTGGGGCTGAAGAACATGTGCCCCAGGGAGCTGGCTCTGACTGGCCTGGACAGAAGACCAGGTAATTTAAAGGGAGACTTCAAAAAAGGTGTGGCATTTGGCATCTCCAGGAACAGGGACTGGACAGCTGGCCCAGGGAAGAAGACCCAACAAATCTGAGAATCCTACTGGCCCAAACCTTGTGGAGTGTCACAACCCAGGCGAGCCTCAAGTAAGGATCTTTTCTGCACACCCAGAAAGCTAAGTAACAGCGAATGGCAATGTAATGGGGGTCATCCCAGCAAGCCCCTAGAGCCAGGACTAAGCAGGGAATACCCATAGAACAGTTGGTAGAAGCTAACTGGGAGGAGGGAAAGAACGGACCCCCTGAGTGAAGTGGGACCTTGAGAGAAGTTGAGGTGGCCAGAGCAAACGAGAGATTTGTGTGGCACACTGGGGAAACGAAAAACAGAGCTCAAACCAGGTGGTGATAGCCTAACAGAACCCTCAAACTGGGAAGGAAGCAAGAGTGATCAAACCTTTTTTGTGTGCATGTATACTGGAATTAGAAACAATTGAGACCAGGAGTAAGAGATCTCACCTTTTGATTTATTGCCCCCGTGTAAATACAGTCCAGATGGAGAGAAGGATCTCTTTTGTCCTTGATCTATGGTTACAGGACCCTAATTCCCTACAACTAAGTCTTTTAAAAGTGGTTTAGTCTACAAGGCCTGAAGTAAGTCTGGAAGAGAACAGAAAGTGAGAAAGGAGTTAATTCATGAATAATCACAGACACTTAAGAGTCACTAGAAAGAAGGAGTAGAAATGATGACAAAGAGAAAGGAGAGAAAAGAGGATGGGTAGAGTATAACCCAATCAATTCAGCCAAGGAAAGGCTCAGCCAGAAGAAACCGAGACCAAAGAACCACAGGGTAAATAACCTGGCTGAGCTTGAGCAGAGACTCTGCAAGGTATCTCACACTCCTGACCAACAGAGAAGAGTGACCAACCACCGGAGAGGAAAGGGGCAGGGTGAAGGGGAGGTGCAGCCCTGCAGAAGACCGTGGTCCCTGCCAGACTGACCTCTGCTCAGAGTCATCCATCCTCTTGAATATCATTATACCATCAAGGCATGGCACACGAGTGGGAAAGACAAGCCCGACGTTAAGGTAATTCTAATGCAGCTGGGTGGACACGAGGGCACACGCTCTCACACCCCTAATCTGCTGCCCTCACCTACTTCAAAACTCCCTCCCTTTCACACTGATGTTCCCTTTCAGCATGCTCTGGGATGAATGTTGGAAGGCCAGAATTAAACACTACTTTGCTATCTGGCAGGCAACTTGCTGCTGCTGCCTACTTCACCCATGCGACTGGCCCAAGTTCCCAATAGTATACTTTATGAAAGGAGATGGGATTTCAAATAGCCTAGAGAGCACCCACAAGCAGGGACATCATCAGATGCTCCCAGAGAGTAGACACTCATTTGAAAAATAAGAAGTTGAGATATCAAACTTAACATAATGTTGATAAAAGACAACCTACAGAAGGAACTCCTGGGTTAGCAAGGGCTACAACCCAGCACACCTTCCCCACTCTGCCTCACACTGACCTGAAAGGTCAAACCTAGGGCTGAGAAGAATTCAGTCTCCATGACCCCCGTGCAAAGACTGCCAGTTAGGAAGTCCCACAGTTCTAAGTGAGGTGGGAGGACCCAATGGTAATAAGGGGTAGAAGAAGTATTAAAAACGGAGAAGAAGCCGAAGTCACAAGCATCTCCAAGGTATCTCCAAGATATTCTGGTCACGAACATGCAAGCCCAGTTCAGGGCATGACTGGATGGGAACTGTTTACTCTCATACATACATGCACTCTCAGCTTTTCTTCATGCTCACTTCCTTTCCACAAAAGAGGAAGAAGTGTCAAAGGGGCTTTTTAAAAACAACCAACGCTTTAAGCAGTTCTGATGTTCCAAACAAAAAAACCCCAGTGTTCATCTTCCCCATAGCCAACACACAGCAAAAGGTCTTTCTAAGGCCTTGTTATGAGTTCCACGTTCATTTTGTATAGAGAGACCACTGGCTTCCCAAAAGCATCTCTGCTGTCATCATTTCTAGATCCATCATTCTAGTAACCTTGTGGGTCTTTCCAATTTTCTGTCCTCTAAAATGGTTCCTGCTATATTAGTTTTGATTGGAACAGCAGCAGCAAAACAGACTTTAAGTAAAAAATATCTCCCTGACATATTTTAAAACATCGTCGTCCTCATCCTCTGACACAGTCCTGTCAGCACAGCCCAAAGCTTCAGTCTGGGGCTTGGTGCCTGACTTTGGTGTTCTGGACCCACTTGTAGTTGCTGGACTCCACTGAGGATCAATCTGCAACTGCTGGCATCCCTGCTCCTCTTCATTTTCGGACAAAACCTTGTCTTCTCTTTCCTTGCATTTCAAATTCTGGCAAATAAAATAAGTGTATATACCCATAAAACATGTTGTCTCAAAGATAAAGCCTTATCCAAATAGCCAGATTTTAGATGATTATAGAAAGGGTTTCTATTTCACCCCAAAGTGGCAACACTCCATATCCAGAAGTGGAGGTCCAGAAATCAATACTTCTCTGGCCCACTGGAACCTCAGGAGAAATCATACTAGAGACCAATGTTTTGCACCTAACTGCAATTTGGTGAGAACCCTGCAGCTAACATTTTTACAGTCACAAAAGCTTTGGATTGTTTAATGACCTCAAGTGGTTGGTAATTCTTATATTATATCTCCTGAGAAATTAAAGGCTCTTCAGGACGGAACAGGAGAGGATCAGAAACAAGTAGAGCAATGGTTCTCAACCAGGGTGCCACTGCAACTGGGTGAAGCATGCTCTCCTGCCTGTTACCCAATAAACTTAAAGGAGGCAGGAGTACCCAGTCCTGCCACAGCGCTTCCTGGTCCTACCCTGCACACTCCTCCCAGAAACAGAGGTGTTGTCCTGCCTTCTCATATTTATTTACAGACACTTAAATGCCCCCATCACCTTAGTCCCTGGTCATCTCCCCACCAGCCAAATAGGAGAGTTCTATCATCTGCATTTTACTTACAGGGAACTTGAGGCCCAGAAATTAGGTGACTTGCCCAAGGTTAAACCAGTAGGCTGTGGCAGAGCATGATATAGTCACTGGATCCTGTACCTAAACCAGATGGATGCCGCTTCCTTTCTCTGGCCTAGTTTACTCCCTGCTGTCCCTTACATCACAACAGCTTCAGCAAGGGTTAATGCTCAAGTTCTCATACTGAATTATGGTGTTACTAACATACAGTAGATGGGAAAAAAGGAGAAAGTTTCTGTTTAGCTTTCCTGGCAAGGGAGTTTCCCTAAGTGAAGGGGCACAGGGCAGACATTTTAAAATTAGTCTGGGCAAAAGCACTGGTGGAAGTTTGATAAAGCCTGATGAGGCAGGGAGACAGGCCCGTAGATATCACTGCTCACCTCAGCCAGTATCCCCAGCGCCACAGTCACTAGCTCTGCTTCATTCATACAGTAGACAGTCACAGTCCTGGAAAGAGAGAAAGGAGACACCAAAATCAGGGATAACAATAGGGAATGTTGAGCTGCAATGCACAAAAAGAAATAGGCGGAAATTAACACATTCTTCTCTCCTCTCACTACCCCCTGCTCAAACTGAGACTTCTACATCTGTGGGAGTTCACTCTACCAGGTCACCAAAAAGAAGATGCAGGGCAAGTGTGTGGGAATGATACTGACTGGGTTAGACGGTGGGAAGGGCAAAGTGTGTGCAGCCTCAAGTCCAAGACACAGGCTTGTGTCACCCAGATGCTCTTTGCCTTGCTCAGAGACTGACCACAAAACCAAGCAAAGCTGCTGCTTCTCTGCACACATGCAGGAGTTAGAAGAAAACAAGAGTAGAGGGTTACATCAGGTGTTTGCATCTATGAGGCCCCCAGATTGTCTATGAATGCTGCCCCTCTGGAAACACCCTAGGTGTGCACATTGTAGGAAAAAGCAGGCAGGATCCTGCACAGGGTTCACTTCAGGAAACCCCTTTGTTCCCAAAATTCTTGTTTTTGAAAGACAAGAAGTCAGAAATGGGAGTGAGATTTTCTTCTCTCTCAGTCTTACACCAACGTAACTGCACTGGCTGTAGTGGAGTTGTTCCTTGTATACACCAGCTGCAAGCAGCAATTAGGTACCTCTTCCGGGTCTGCTCCTTCTGTACCTTTCAATAACCATCCTAAAACCTTACACTGCTAACTGTCCCTGAGGGCTCTCAAAACACTTCACCAACTGTGGGAACAAAGATCAGCAACAGGAACACTGCGGGACAAGGAATGCAGGGAGCAAAGCAAAGAATTATTTAGCTCACAGCAAATGTGAAATTGCAAGAAGTATTCAGCTGTGGTTCTAGCACCAAGACTCTCCTTGGCATCTGTGAAGTGCTATCAGATCTATGCACTTGGGCCCTTTGTTCTGTACCTCAGGACTCTACCATCACATGGCCCCCAGCCACCAGGCTGGGAAGCCCTATAGCTCTGAAGCAAGGCAGAAGGCCCCTTTATGAGCCACTGCCTCCACATCACTCACAAAACCATACCTTCTTCCTTTGAAGTTGCTTATCCCAGCATCAGTCAGACCCCATTTTGCTTAGCATACTTGAATCCACATAATCAGAGATCGCACAATGCACTTACCCTGCCTCAGCTGCCTTCTTCCTCCTCTTGGGTCTCGCTGGTGGCATTGTCTCTCTCTGCTCTGCCACCCCTGCTATCATCCATGAGGGGAGGACCCTCTTCTTTGCTGTTGATGCAGAGGCCTCCATCTCTTGCGGGCAGCGTTTCCTTTTGCACATTACAATCAAGACACAGGCACAAAGATCAAAGTAAGGACTACCTGTCCTAATGGTTAGCACCATACACACACTCTCACACAGCAGCCTTTATTAATGCTCTGCTAAGGTGGCACCAGGAAGAAACGAACAACAGGCCCCCAGTGAATGTCTTGAGAAGACACTGGCTAGGTAGGTGGAAAGACAGACAGACAGAAGCAAGGAAGCAGGCAGTACCTTTTTAAAAAAAATAATTTTCTGTAGTCCAAGCTAAATTAGCCCAAACAAATTCCAAATCTGAGAGTCAGTCCACTACCAGCGAACATCCCCTACCCCCATCTGGGGCTTCAGATGTTCCCAAGACCTCTGGCAGGCATCCTACGCGCAGGCCCAAGCCCGGAGGCTTAGCGTCTGCATGCCCTGAGTTTTTCTTGCCCTCAGCTGTAAGGCCGCAGGACCAAGCCAGGGACCAGTCCCCCACTTCCATAAAGTGGGCATAAAGCCAAGGCTATGCATTACATATGTGGGTACTATCCCATGCCAGCAGACCAGTCTTCCCTAGTGCAACCAGGAAGCCACTGTGGTGAGCATGTTACTTCCCATGCCAGGCAAGCATAGACTACACTTGATCTGAGCCTTCAAGAAGGCAGTGTCTGCACCTGTAAGCCTATATATCTGTTCTGGTTGTGCACAGTCACACTCCTGTCCCCTCCTTTGACACGCATCTACAAACAAAGACTGACTCTCATCACCCGAGACCTCCCTTGCTCTCACGCCGCGCCGACCTGCGGTCAGGCCCCTGGGCACGAGGAAGACCCTGGTGCTGAGGCTCCCAAGACCCCCCCGACAACTCACGCGCCTGCCCCGTGCCAGAGGCGGGCGAGCTGAAGGCCCAGCCCCGCCCCGGAGGAAGGGGGCACGGGCCGCCCAGAGCTGCGGGCCGCCAAGGCCCGACTCCCGCTCGGCGCTCGCCGGCCTCCCCGCGCCTCAGGCCAGCCGCTCGGGGGCACCAGGGGGCGC